AAGATCTTCTCCGGGGCCAGGGCCTGCCTCCCCATAAGATCTTCTCCGGGGCCGGGGCCTGCCTCCCCATAAGATCTTCTCTGGGGCCGGGGCCTGCCTCCCCCATAAGATCTTCTCCGGGGCCTGGATCCTGCCTCCCCCATAAGATCCTCTCCGGTGCCAGGGCCTGCCTCATTGAGAGCTGCCTGATTTGGAAGCTGCTTCGGGAGCCTGGACTAGGTTTCCCAGCTCCATCCCAGATATACCCATCGTAGACCTGCTCTCACCAGGCCGAGCCAAAAGCCGGGTCCCTGGGCAGGGCCTGGCTTGGCCTAGCTGATGTATTTTTCAGTTTGGGGATTTCCTTTCATGGGTGTGTTGGTACGTGTTCTGTAAACATCCAGGGCAGGCAGGCTGGGGTGGGATGGTGAGGCGGGTGGGGTGGGTGGCCTGATGAAAGGAAAACCTCCATGATTTTCAAAAGCTCAGTCTTGCTTCTTTCTTCTCCTCACCTGGCCCCGGCCTCCCCTTCCTCGCTAGGAAGAACCATTCCAAATGCCTAGTGCACTGTAAGATGGGCGTCAGCCGCTCTGCCTCCACGGTCATCGCTTACGCCATGAAGGAATTTGGCTGGCCCCTGGAGAAGGCCTTCAACTATGTGAAACAAAAACGAAGCATTGCCAGGCCCAACGCGGGCTTCATGCGGCAGCTGTCTGAGTATGAAGGCATCCTGGACGCCAGGTGAGGGCGTAGCCCCCTGGGGGTGGACAGCAGCGAGAAGAGCTGGGTTCGAATCCACCGCCAGTACTCACGGGGGTAACTCTACCTAGAACCGTCCTTCTAGGGTGGTTGTGAGAATCTCATGAGAGAATGTGTACAAAGTGCTTGGCAAAGCTGGGGAGAAAAGCACTATAGAAACGTCAGCTGTTATTATTATTATTATTATTATACTGGAGATGGGTTGGATTGGATGATCTTTGAGGTTCTTCTAATTATGTATCCTACCCTATAAACACAGAGCATTTTAGATCAAAAGCTGGAGGGGACCTTGGGTCACTGGGTCTACCCTTTGTGTCTTACAGTTGGGGAAATTGAGGCCCAAGGTCACACCAGAAGGATCGTAGGTCTCGAACTAGAAAGGACTTTCAGAGGCGTCTAGCCTAATCTAGAGATGGAGAAACTGAGGCCCGGAGAGACCATAGTGGGATTAAGTAGCACAGCCAGGTTTCAAACTCAGGGCCTCTGGCTCCAGATCCAGCCTCTTTGGGGCTACCTCTAACGTTCATTCATCACTGATGTTTATAGAGCGCTTTTAAGATTTGCAGAGATTCAAGGATGTTATCCCAACAGCCTGGGAGGCAGGTGTTACTGATAAGACTGTCTCCATTTTATAGGTGAGGAAACTGAGGCAGACAGCGGTGAGGTGATTTGCCCAGGGTCACTTACACAGCTAGTAAGCATCTCAGGCAGGATTTGAACTCAGGTCTTAAAGACTCCAGGCCTGGTGCTGTATCCACTGGGTGAGCCTGGCTGCCTCACTAGCCAGGGGAGGACAATTTTAGGATGGCTAGAAAATTGAACATCCCTCTCTAGTCCCCTTTCCCCCTGGATGGCCAACTCCTCTGGGAACTAATTTGGAAGGAATTCATTAACAGTTGGCATTGTAGAAATCACAGGATGTATTGTCAGGAGCTAGGTGGGTTGAGTCCCTGCCCACCCCCTTGGGGCTGGGTGACTTCCCCCTCTCTGACCTCAGGGTCCTCCACTGTAAGATGAGGGCGTGATTCTGCCCCCTCCCCCATCCTTACCTGCTTAAAAGCAGTGGAGATGCCCTGAAGTCAGGAGGACCTGAGTTTGAATCTGGCCTCAGACCAAACACTTGACACTTAATAGCTGCGAGACCCTGGGCAAGTCACTTAACCCCAGTTGCCAAAAAAAAAAAAAGGTGGAGACAACTGAGGAGTCATGGGTGGTGCCCCATCGGGCACTGACCCCATGCCCAGTCCCATGTTCATTGTGCTCTTGAGAGACAAGGGATGCTCTGGCAGGGTTAGACCAAGGACAGAGACTATTCCTTTATATCCCCAGTGCCTAGGACAGTGTCTGGCATATAGTAGCCACTTAATAAATACATGTTGTAGGGACCAATCCAGTGTGTGCATGGCATGTAGGACAAGTCAACAAACATAAATTCTGGCAACACAAAGAAAGAAAAACTAGGCCCTGCCTTCCCGGGAGCTCACAGTCTACTGGGGTTGATGACTTACAAACAACTTTGCACACCCAAGAAATGGATGGGTCAGACTGGGGATAGTAGGCAAAGGGAAGGCACTAGTGTTCCAGGCGCTCCGTGATCACAGGTTGGGTGATGGACTGAACCGCCATAACTCAGTGCCATACGTGGGACTGATGAAGGACAGCTCACTCCTAGTTCTGCTCCATTTGCTCACTCCTTCTCTTGACTTATGATGGCCACGCTCTTTATAAAGCCCTAGCAGGGGTACCTTTGGACAGCTTCGTTCCCTTTTGGGGGCCTCAGTTTTCCCATCTGTAAAATGGGATCGCTAGGCAGTCCTTCCTGCTTGGAATCCCACTGTTTTAGAACCCAAGCTCAGAAGAGCACCACTGGGAAATCGGACCCCCGGGGCATGGTCCTCTGGGTTCAGAGATTTAGGACTGGAAAGGGTATTTGTTTTTCTGTCCCTGGGTTTTACAGAGGAGGAGTCTCAAGGTCAGAGGGGGATCATAGATTTAAAATTGGAACAGACGTTCCAGGTCACCTGGTCCCTCCTTTCCTACTGAACATGCTGTGTTTCCTCATTAGATTATACACTTCCAGAGGGCAGGACTGTCTTTCTTATTGGTGTCCACAGCATCTGGTAGGTGCTTAATATTGAATTGAATTGAAGATTGAGGAACTAAGGCCCAGGGAGGGGAAGGATCTTACCCAGGCCTACTGAATATGCAATAAATGCTGGACCTAGGATTTGAAACCAGAAAGCTTGGACTGCACGTACAAGGCTCTTCCCATGGAACCATTAGCCACATTGGGCTTGTCTGTGACTAGCATTGAGCCCTTCATTGTTATCATGACCTCTAGCGTTTTCGTAGGACTTAATTTTTTTTTTGAGGCAGTGACTTGCTCAGGGTCACACGGTAGTAAATGTCTGAGGTCACATTTGAACTCGGGTCCTCCTGATTTCAAGACCAGTACTCTGTCCACTGTACCACTTAGCTGCCCCAGGACTTAATTTCCAGAGATCATTGTAGTAGCCTCCAAAGGGTGTCAGGTCGGAGGATTGTTTATGATGGTTTCAGATGGGGAAACTGAGAAATGGGAGAAATTAAGTAACTTGACTGAAGTCCAAGGGTTAGTGGCAGGGCTAGACTCACGCCTTCCTATGCCTATCCTAATGAGTGAGGAGACTGGGGCTGGTTCTCGGATGATTTCACCATTCTGGGCCTAACCCCTGAAGGAGGAACGTGGCTCCTGCCTAACCTCAGAGCCTGGCCCTAGATTCTGGGGACTCTCAGCACCTTCAGGAACCCGTTCCTGACTCTTATCCCCACTGATCTGCTTGGCAGTGTAGACCTTTTGTGAAGTTTCAGTACTGGAAGAGACCTCGACAAAATACCAGAACTAGAGGTAGCCTCAGAACAGGGGATATCAGGGCTGGGAGGGGACTTAGAACATGGAATGTCAGAGCTGGGAAGGGCCTTAGAACATGCAATGTCAGAACTGGGAGGGGCCTTAGAATGGGGGAATGTCAGGGCTGGGAAAGACCTTAGAACAGGGAATGTCAGTGCTGGGAGGGGCCTCAGAACAGGGAATGTCAGGGCTGGGAGGAGCCTTAGAACAGGGAATGTCAGGGCTGGGAGGAGCCTTAGAACAGGGAATGTCAGGGCTAGGAGGAGCCTTAGAACAGGGAATGTCTGGGCTGGGAGGAGCCTTAGAACAGGG